GACTTTTTCATGGCAAAAATGAAATCGAAATGTTTTTGTTGCTATAGTTACATTAAAAATCATCTTGTCCACAAAATTGATCTGGGAATTTAACTATATATATATATATATATATATATATATATTCTCTTTTTCGGTTTTAAGCAACATAGTAGTTGACCTAAATTCATCCAAGTAAATAAATAGACAAACCAATCCCAAATTAAAAACTGTTCCCGCCAAAATAATAGTTAGAATGAACTACAACAACCAACCCCAAAATTGAACAAATAGCTTTAATTAAATTCTCAAACCAAAACAAATCTGTTAAATAAGTGATATAAACAAATTTTTACCACGTTAATAAATAAATAAATAAATAAAATAAGAAACAAAAATAAAAACGAGCAATATAATTTGACCCAAATAAATAAACAAACGACTTCCGGTAAAATAACCGCCATAATAGAATACCCACAATGCACCACTAACCCGTATATATATAAATAGCCGAGAAAAATAACAGCACACGTGGCCTGACGATTGCATATAGCATGAAACAGACTGTCGCCTCTAAGTGTTGACTTCTATGTTCACTTTTATATATACACACGCTCTATCTCTGATATTGAGCACTTTATTCCATAAATATAGCACACCTTAAGACTATATTTCTTTATATATATATATATATATATATATATATATATATATATATATATATATAAAGTATTGCATTACTGTTTAGGCTTACCTTTTAAAGACTCAACGATAATTCTTTTGTCACCACTTAATTTAAAGACGATTTGATGTACGTAGTACCTTATTTCCCGTACAAACAATTAGATTTTTTATTTTATGGATGACTTTCGCTGAATTCTGCAATTAATTTCGATTATTTCAAAATTTATTTCCAAGGTATAAAAATTGTTATCGTGCAAAAACTTCGTCGCAAAGAATCACGTAAAAATTCGCCGAAAATTTCGAAATTTCGAATCCGGATCCGGGCCGGAACGATTTTTAATTTGTTCCATGAGATCTCAGCTTGAGATCATCATCACTTGTGCAAATCATGATCTCAGAAATAGATGGACGATACTCGGGAAATGGAAGCGATTTTCACTGTTACAGTGCATTTCTTGCATCATTTGATTGTAATACAGGGAAAAATATCCGTGAATATGAACGGATTATGCTAAAAATAAGCAAAAATAATGTTTGTAATCTATTTAATCAGACATGCCTAAAAGAGAATTTGCTGCTTAAATGCACACACACACACACACACACACACACACATATATATATATATATATATATATATATATATATAATTTTTGAGTCGTTCATTTTTTCCATACCCCAGCAGCATTTATGCTAATGTAAATCTATAATAGACCCCTATAAACGTTAATGTCTATTTTCGTGGCTGTTAAATATTAAAAAGAAAAGAAAAAAAAATACTGTTTAAATGAAATGACAAAATCACGTGGAAAATGGTTCGGGTGGAAAAACTGTCGCCGGTAAAGAATCTGCTCCCGTGCCTGCTCTGAAGATCCCATTAGTTCTCAAGCCGCCGGTCGTAAACACGACCTACGAACTCGCTAATTTCTCACTATCAACCTCCAGTGACACAACCTCTCGCGTAATGAATGGCTTCTTTGCCTCCTTGGCACACTCCACCGCTTTCTTGTGTCTATAAATACTTAAAAAAAAAAAATACTGACGTGTTTTAAAATATGTAAAAGAAATATACGCAAAAGGTTTATTTTTATTTTTTAGTCTAACTCACTATTATGGGAACTTATCTATAACGATAATGGACTCTTCCTGACACCATAAATACTGCGCCTCTTAAGAGGTATAATGAATGAATGGTGTAACGAGCACCAGATCATGACTGTTGAACTCGCTGCTTTGGCCGAGAGGAACCCGGACAAAGCTTTGCCGAAGGTCAAGGTTTCCTCCGGGGAGGTTGACAGGCCCTGAACCCGTCTAGGCGGGTTCAAAGATAATATTTTTGGCCAAGCCTACGGGCTCGGGAAACCCACCTTAAACTTGGCCTTGTGCCACATGCAACCCTCGTGGGGTGGGGGTGGCTAGATACCGAATGAACGGTGTAACGAGCACCAGGTCATGACTGTTGAACTCGCTGCTTTGGCCGAGAGGAACCCGGACGGGGCTTTGCCGAAGGTCAAGGTTTCGTCCGGGGAGGTAGACAGGCCCTGAACCCGTCTAAGCGGGTTCAAAGGGTATATTTTTGGCCGAGCCTACGGGCTCGGAGAAACACACGTTAAACACGGCCTTGTGCCACATGCAACCCTCGTGGGGGCTAAATACCGAATGAATGGTGTAACCAGCACCAGGTCATGACTGTTGAACTCTCTGCTTTGGCAGAGAGCAACCCGGACGAAGCTTTGCCAAAGGGCAGGTTTTCGTCCGGTGGGGTAGACAGGCCCTGAATCCGTCTAGGCGGGTTCAAACGGTATATTTTTGGCGGAGCCTACGGGCTCGGGAAACCCACGTTAAACTCGGACTTGTGCCACATGCAACCCTCGTGGGGCCGGGGGGTGCTAAATACCGAATGAATGGTGTAACCAGCACCATGTCTGTTGAACTCTCTGCTTTGGCAAAGAGGAAACCGGACGAGGCTTTGCCGAAGGGCAGGGTTTCGTCCGGGGAGGTAGACAGGCCCTGAACCCGTGTAGGTGGGTTCAACGGCTATATTTTTGGCCGAGCCTACGGGCTCGGGAAACCCACGTTAAACTCAGCCTTGTGTCACATGCAACCATCGTGGGGGGTGGATAAATATCGAATGAATGGTGTAACGTGTCGAGACAATATTAGTTCACTCTAAACCAGACGGACAGTCATTACTAATACCTTCAACTTCTTGTAGTATATTTCTGTTGTAATATATCTGTTATTCTACTGTTGTGTTCGTGTTGTTCTTCCTTGGTTCTAACCTTGGACCATAACACTTACTAAAGACAGTTATCAATAAGGTCAGTTTGGATTTTATTTTCTTCTACTAAATTTTACCCTGTAAAAGGCTCGAGAACAACCCAAGGATGAAAAATCACAGCTGAAATTCTAACGATTACTGTAGGATGATGAGCGTATAGAAAGCGTAACGATGGGTGATAACGATTGAACTTTGACTTGCAGAGGTCTAGATTTAAAGTGACCAGGAAAGAGCATCTTCTGAGCCAATTCCCTTGCGGTCTGGTGCGAAGAGTCTATGAGTTTGAACTTCCCCTTTTTGAAACGGGAAAACCAATTCTGTGACATTATATATAAATTTACACACACACACACACATACGTTCTTTTTATATATACAAATATTTAAGTAAATCATCTGTTTATAATAAAACAGTATTAACAACATTTACCGACCTGAATGACCGAGAAATTTTCATCGAACATGTATCTTATACGTAACCGTCATATAGCCTGACGTACTTTTACCAATTGAGCCACAGAGGAGCGTTTCGGTTAGAAAGGTCGAAGTTACTGTTTTTAAACTAGAATTCTCCATGATTTTCTCTCGTACATTCATATCTGTCGGAGGACGCATATTTTCTATGAAAATTTCTCAGACATTCAGGCCGGTAAATGTCGTTAATACTGTTTATTATAAACAGAACATTTACTTAAATATTTTTATCTATAAAAAGAACGTATAAACATAAAAAAATGTCTTAAAATAATTGCTTTCCAACACACATATACTCAAAGAATGACTGCGATGAGCTCCACCACCACTCCATTCTTCTCGATCATTCCCGCTTAGATGTTCTAAACAAACCGTTCCTTTTAGCCTCCACCCCCATCTCTTGCCCACTCTCTTTCAGTCTCCTTCTTTCTATTTCCCTTTTCTTTCTCTATCCTTCTCACACTCATTATTTTTTCTATCTTCTTTCTTCCTCCCTGTTTTTGTCTCTGGCTCTCTTCCTCTCTTTACCTGTTAGTTTTTTTTCTCTCTCTTTCTATCCCTCTCTCAATGTCTCTTTATATCCTATCTCTTCCTTGTTCACCCCCTTCTCTTTTCCTCTCTCTCTCTCATTCTTGATCTATCTATCTATCTATCTATCTATCTATCTATCTATCTATCTATCTTTTGAATCTTTTTCCCACCCCCTTTCCCTCTCCTAGCTTCTTATCTCTCTCTTCCTATCAGTGTTTTTTTTTTCTTGCCATCTTTTCTTATCTTTCTCTCTATCTCTCTTTCTCTCCTTTTATTAAAAAAACTACGAGAATGGGGTGAAAGGAAAAGTTCACAGGCTGACCAGGAAACTCTTACTATTATTAAGTGCTTTATTTTTGGTGTTTTTTTTGGGGGGGGGTCAGGTAAAATCTTATCTGACTGTTCGAAGGAAACTTCACATGTCGTAACTAGCGACTTCTCTTAAAAATGGCCAAAATTTGACATTGTGCTGTTATCAAATACCTGCAGAGAAAAGGTTTAGCCCCAAGGACATTCGTTGCTGACATTGTTGCTACATTAGAGGATGACGCCCAGCTTTAAAGACAGTGAAAAAGTGGGCAACTGAATATAGGAAGGAAAGGAGAAGCCTTGAAGATGACCCAAGGTATGGACGTCCTGAGACTGCCAAAAGGAGGAAAGCATTAATAGTTTTCATCACATGGTGATGGATGACAGAAGATAGACTATAACCAAATAAGAAATGCTATTAAAATATCCAGCGAAAGAGTTAAGAATATTCTGCACAATGGACTTGGAACGACGATGGGTTCTGCTCGGTGGGTGCTACGTCTTCTGACACCTGATCAAAGGCGCACCAGGCTGATCACATCACTGGAAAATCTGACATTATTTAGGACAGATGCAGCTGGTTTCCTTGAACGTTTCCTAAAAAAGGTGAGTGTAGGGTTCATCAATTTGAGCCAGAATCAGAGAGACAATCTATGCAGTGGAAAAAAAAGCCCTCCCCGCCTGTTCCAAAGCAGGCTAAAGTCGTTTCATCCACAGGGAAGTTAATCCCCTCAGTTTTGGGAATGCAAAAGGCATTTTGTTTCACTATATCCAAAACGGCCACAGCATCAATGTAGAATATTATGTCATCTTGATGAGTGTGTTTACAAAAGACCAAAAACCTAGGTAAACTGACGAAAGCGGTTTTATTTCATCTGGACAACGTTCCAGCACACAAGTCCTCGATTTCAATGGCTGCCCTGCGTGAGTGTGGCTTTGAACTAGTTGATCGTCCTCTCTATTCTTCTGATTTGACTATCATCTGTTCCCCAACACTTGGCTGGGAACCAGTGTCGCTGTGATCATGACATCATATCTGCTGTTGATGACTATTTTGACCAACACAATGAACAGTCTCCTTGGAAGTCAGATGACAGAAACAACGCAGTTATTAATAAGAGGAGTTGAAATGAACGCATGAAAGATTTCACAGCTCCTGCATCACTCCTTCATATTCAGCCTATGGATTTTTCAGCCTATCCCTCGGATTGAGAAATCGGAGAGCTGAGTTTGAATTCCAGTCGAATCCATTATATTCACTTACGTGATAATAACCTTGGGAAAGGTATGAATCCTCTTCTTCTCCCTCCAGCTATGGGTAAATAACAGGACAGACTGGGTTCTATAGCCTTGGATGGTAACTGATCTACCTCAGAAAGAATTGGAAACCTACTGTGGGAAAAAATCTGATTCGTCAGTCATGTATCACGCATGGCACATAACTGACTGATTGACCCGCAAGTCAGAGATTTCTTTGATACTGCATCGATATTATAAAAGGGTTGACAATATTTGTCGAATCTGGCAAGTGTCGCAGTATAGGGAACGTCTTCTTTTTTCATCTGATGCGTGCCTTCAGGACAGGCGACCATGGCTCTCCACAAGTTCCTATCTCGTGTGAGTCTTAGCAGTTTTTCTCGCTTTGCTAAGGCTCCTGACCCTGGTATCAGACACCCAGTCACACAAACTGGCCAGGTAGGTGGCTCTACTGCTTTTCACTATCTCTCTCGACCTCAATACGCCCTATGAGGGTTATGTTTTCCAAGCCCTCTTTTCTCATCATGTGTCCAGTGAATTTCAAAGCTCCGTCCATGAATTCTGTTGAACTAAATTTCTGTTGATGCTGGATTTTCCTCGTCTGTGGGGAAAATTGTCCAGCATTCACTGCCAATGACCCCACGGATAAGGAAAAAAAACTAGAGGCAGCATTTCAGAAGTTATCCCCCCCCCAACACCAAAAAATCTTTCCTGGCTTTTAACATGCGCTCTAGTCTATTTAAGTAGTGGCCAATCAACAAAATAGAACTTTTTTAAAATCGTTTTACACCAAGCAAGACGACAATAATGGCAAGATGGAGTGAAAGTTACGCACCTCGAGGCGGTGTAATGGTTAACAAGCTTGTCCTGCTAGAACAATTACGACTGAGTAGTGAGTTCGATCCTCACTGGGTGCGCCTTACTTTCGGCCTTGTGCCACATCCGAGCTACACTTAGAAAAATCACTTTGGGACACCTCTAGGCGGTGTAATGGTTAGCAAGCTTGTCCCGCTAGAACACTTACGACAGAGTAGTGAGTTCGATCCTCACTGGGTGCCCCTTACTTTCGGCCTTGTTTCACATCTAAGCTACGCTTGAAAAATCTCTACATGGAGTGAGAGAGAATAAGAAGACTAAAAATGGGGAAGATTAAGAAAATTACCATTGCAACTACAATTACCATTAACCTATCAGTGATTTAAAAACAAAAACTGCTAGCCAGTCTTTTAGTTTTTTGAACAATACCCTACGATGAATGTTCTCTTCAGCTAGTGCATTTATCGTCTTCACTCATTTTATTCTTGGCGATTTTGAAGAAAGAAGAGACGATCAAAGACAGAATGAAAGAACAACTGATGAAAAATAAGTTAGTATCGACTGCTTCCCTGCCAAAGGCGTCAAAAACAGTCAAATTTACAGTTCGATTTTGAGGAACACGCTAATTCACACATCAAAAGAATACAGTGTCATTGTTCATCCAAAATGAACGCTGCCACATTCTGAAAAATAATCCAAGATGTCGCCTCTTTCACGAGCAGGAGACTATTGAAACCTTGAGATTCGCTTTTCACTTCCCAGTGTCAAAAGCACTGTGATCGGCACAATCCTTTGATAAGACCTTTACCTCAGACCCAACTGGCTTTTTGTCTTCGTTCTACTCAAATTCTGTAAGCTAGCATCTAATCAGCTGAAGGCTTTTTCAGAAGAATGAAAAAAAAACGTAAGAAAGAAGTGAAGCTGGCTTTCTTTCCAAAACTAAAAAGAAACATTAAATCTTTACGTAGATAATTTTGTAACCTAAGTCTGACACAAGATTGCATTTTTATCTGTGTGTATTTCTGGGATGAGGTATTGCAATTATTTACATTATTTAAATTGTTCGTTGTCCTGATTTTTATTTCCATATTCACGACTTTTCAGCCGTTTTACACTCCGGGCTTCTTCAGGGTTTGTCTATATTTCTGAGATACGGTATTATAATTGTTTATATTATTTACACTGTTCGGAATGTTGTTCTCATGTTTGTTTCCATATTCACGACTTTTCGGCCGTTTTACATTCCGGTCTTCTTCAGGATCTGTCTATATTTCTGAGATAAGGTATTTCAATTATTTACTTTGTTCGGACTGTTGTCCTCATTTTTTATTGTCATATCCACGAGGTTTCAACCCTTCTACGCTCTGGCCTTCTTCAAAATATGTCTATATTTCTGAGATAAGTTATTTACATTATTTACATTATTTACATTGTTCAGAGTGTTGTCTTCATTTTTATTGTCATATTCACAACGTTTCTGCCGTTTTACGCTCCGGCATTCTTCCGAATCTGTCTATATTTTTGAGATAACTTATTGCAATTATTTATATTATTTACATTGTTCAAACTGTTGTCCTCAATCTTTATTGCCATATTGCCGACGTTTCGTACATTACGGTCTTCTTCAAGAACTGTCCATATTTCTGAGTAAAGTTATTGCAATTATTTAAATTATTTACATTGTTCGGACTGTTGTCCTCATTTTTATTTTCATATTCACGACTTTTCAGCCCTTGTACGCTCTGTCCTTCTTCAGAATCTGTCTATATTTCTGAGATGAGGTATTGAAATTATTTACATTATTTACATTCTTTCGACTGTTGTCCTCATCTCTATTCTCATATTCACGATGTTTCGGCCCTTGTACGCTGTGGTCTTCTTCAGAATCTGTCTATATTTCTCCCAAGCGGTTACGCATTATTTTAAAGCCAGAAAATATTTTTAGATTGTACAAATTTTGGAGGAGATAATAATTGTTTATTTATACAAGTTTTACTAATTAACCCATAGCAGGGGGAAGCAACGGTGGCTTCATACGTTAAGGTTATCTGTGCTTAAGTAAATTTAACACACCAAACTGGAATTGGACCTCGGCTCCCAGACTTCCAAATCCGAGCCGTTGCTCCTAACAGCACATGCACCTACAAGCTTACGCATCAAGGTACTGACAAGGTTCGACGTTGCTTAAATTCGGCTATCGTACGGGAACCGGTGCTTGAACATGATGTGACCGTAAGTCTCACTTTTCCCTCGCTGTCTTCTGTAGGGGTTTGGTAGTTGCCTTTCCATACCTGCTATCAACACCGTGATTCTGTCAACATGAACCGAACGTGATCTAGATTCTCACCAGCCGTGGTGAATAGTTGCACCCTTGAGGGTCCTTGCTTCAAGTCTCTGTTGGGGTTGAGGTCAGCCCCAAATCTCAAGTGGAATTCACATAGACGATCTATCTCAAGATTCTTGAAAACAATGGACAACTCTTTATAACATTCCAAGCGTTCTGTTCTAGTTTATGTCTTATATTTTATCGCTTTCCTAAAATTACCTTCTGTAGGAGGTTTTTATAGTTTTTTGTTTTTGCCCCCGTGTCTGTTATCAGCACTGCATCATCTGTATATTCTATCTTTTAAGACATATTTTTTATGTTTATACGTTCTTTTTATAGATACAAATATTTAAGTAAATGCTCTGTTTTATAATAAACAATATTAACAACGTTTACAGACCTGAATGTCCGAGAAATTTTCATAGAGAATATGCGTCCTCCGACAGCAATCCGATCTATACGGAACCGTCATATAGTCTTTCAATATCTATCTATCTATGTATCTATCTATTACTGTCTATTAATATTATCATTGGGCTTTTTATTCAATATCTGCTTTTCCATTTAACTAGCAAATATGGCGTCATTTTGTACTGATTCCAATTCCTCGTATGTAAAAACGGCAGGATTTAGTCAGAAAATGGATAGTTTTAAGACATTTTTATGTTTATACATTCTTTTTTTTTATATAGATACAAATATTTAAGTAAATTCTCTGTTTTTCATAAACAGTATTAACGACATTTACCGGCCTGAATGTCTGAGAAATTTTCATAGAAAATATTCGTCCTCCGACAGGAATCGAACCTGCATCCTATACGGAACCGTCATATAGCCTGACGTGCTTTTACCGATTGAGCCACAGAGGAGCGTTTCGGTTAGAAAGGTCGATGTTACTGTTTTTAAACTACAATTTTCCATGTTTTTCTCTCGTACATTCATATCTGCTCGATGCGTATCTAAATGTAAACAAATGACGTCACACATTATGAAATGGATAAAGTCCGACAATTATTTTAAGACATTTTTTATGTGTATAGTTCTTTTTATAGATACAAATATTTAAGTAAATGCTCTGTTTATAATAAACAGTATTAAACAGCCTGAATGTCCGAGAAATTTTCATAGAAAATATGCGTCCTCCGACAGGAATCGAACCTGTATCCTATACAGAACCGACATATAGCCGGTAAAGGCTGTTTAATACTGATTATTATAAACAGAGCATTTACTTAAATATTGGTATCGATAAAAAGAACGTATAAATATAAAACATGTCTTAAAATAATTGTCGTACTTTCCCCATTTCATAATGTATGAAGTCATTACTTTACATTTGGATACGCATTGAGCAGATATGAATGGATGAGAATTGTGTTTAAAAACAGTAAAATCGACCTTCCTAACCGAATGCTCGTCTGCGGCCCAATCGGTAAAGGCATGTCAAGCTATATGACAGTTCTGTATAGGATACAGGTTCGATTCCTGTCGGAGGACGCATATTTTCTATGAAAATTTCTCGGACATTCAAGCCGGTAACTGCTGTTAAACCCCTTTAATTCAGAATCTTATCGATATATAGGTTGAATAAGTCCGGTGGCAAGACACATATTTGTCGTACATTCCTCCCAATTTTTATATATCTGCTGAAATCATTGGGGATTTTTGGACTGAGCACTTTAACGTACACTGGATTTGAAATATACTCCATTTATGAGGGTCGTGCGGCACGCTAATGTGCCAAAAATCATCTTTTTTACAGTTTGTATAGAGCCCGATAATGTATTAAAGATCGCACTGAGGCGCGAAACTGTCATCCACACTATGCAAGTTCCTTTTACTCCAATATGTCCTGTGAGTGTTGAAATCTCTAGGCACTCTTTCCTTATTTTGTATCCTTTTTAAGTATCTGTTTCTTAAGTATAAGCTTCCTTGTTTCTACTTTTCTTAGAATTTACTCGTTACTCAAATGTTTTTTTTTTCCATAGTATTATTAGTATCCCCGGTAGAATCACTTCTACAGGGTGTGGTGGGTGGATTGTGGCCATTTTGTATTTTTAATTTTGCGCATGCGTGTTGTTTGTTTTTGATTTTTTTCTTTCTTTTCGGTAGCACAGTATAGAAGGGTCTGTTGAGTACAGTCTGTGAGAAAAAGAACACCATAAAGCAATTGACTCCGTTCAAAATTTGGAAACCCCATGCAAACGAACTACTCTGCCTTAAATGCCATCATGAACCCCGCTTGTGAGATGGAGGGGAGTGGTGACCACAGCGGCGGCGCAAAATGAATGAAATGAAAATGAATCAACAAAAAGACGATATTTATTAAGAGCTACAAAGGGCAAGAAATTATGGAGAGCCATGATCACCAACTTCCTGAGAGGAAATGGCGCATAGAAGGAAAAGAAGTTTTGTAATTCCTTTAGACTCGTTACGTTTATATTGTCTTATACCTCTTTCTATTTTTTAACTATTGGGGATTGGCGCTATATGATCACAAAGAGCTGTACCAGATAACAGGAACCACATCACTTGAGGAATACCAACAATGAAAATGGATAGCAGATGCAACTCAGAAAATAATGAGATAATCAAGATGTTGATATTCCACACAACTTCAAATAGAAGATTAGGAAGGAAATCCCCTCAATACTGAAAAGAGTGATAAGAGCTACTGGACTTAAGAAACCTATTTTACTGAAAAATTGTTTGAAGTGAAAGATTTTATAAAATTAAACCGATAACAGTACTGTCTGTCCGGGCAATGAATGCCAAATGCTTCCTTATAAGAAAAACGGCTAATATTACCATTAGCATTAAAGATGAGGAGAACAGATACAACACTTTGATCCCAGTCTGATGACTAAAGACTGAAAACAAAGCGTAAATAGATTAGTGCTATCTGTTCGGTCAATGAATGCCGAATGTTTCCTTATAAGGAAACAGCTAATATTACCATTATCATTAGAGATGAGGAGAACAGATACTACACATTGATCCCAGCCCGATGAATAAAGAGTGAAAAAAAAGCGTAACTAGATTAGCACTATCTGTTCCGTCAATGAATGCCGAATGTTTCCTTATAAGGAAACAGCTAATATTACCATTATCATTAGAGATGAGGAGAACAGATACTACACATTGATCCCAGCCCGATGACTAAAGAGTGAAAAAAAAGCGTAACGAGATTCGTACTGTATGTTCGCTCAATGAATGCCGAATGTTTCCTTATAAGAAAAACGGCTAATATTACCATTAGCATTAGAGATGAGGAGGACAGATACTACACATTAATCAAAGCCCGATGACTAAAGAGTGAAAAAAAAGTGTAACTAGATTCGTACTGTCTGTTCGGTCAATGAATGCCGAATGTTTCCTTATAAGGAAACGGCTAATATTACCATTAGCATTAGAGATGAGGAGGACAGATACTACACATTGATCCCAGCCCGATGACTAAAGAGTGAAAAAAAAGCGTAACTAGATTAGCACTATCTGTTCAGTCAATGAATGCCGAATGTTTCCTTATAAGGAAACAGTTAATATTGCCTTTAGCATTAGAGATGAGAACAGATACTACAAATTGATCCCAGCCCGATGACTAAAGAGTGAAAAAAAAGCGTAACTAGATTAGCACTGTGTGTTAGGTCAATGAATGCTGAATGTTTCCTTATAAGGAAACGGCTAATATTACCATTACCATATATTATGTCTTCATAAAATTGATGTTTAGTCCTTTCTTCTCGCTTTCTTTTACTGCCTTCACTTATCGTTCATAATACTTGTGAATTTTATTGCGGGGATAAATTTGCAAATTAATTCTATAGTTTAAGGTCACGGCTCT